CTCCTTTCATTGAAGTTCCAAAAACATTGGTTGATCACAGATGTTCTTCTTCTTTCACTGTCAACGGCTGACTTCGTCGGGGGAGCTTTCGCTCTTCAAATTGTCATTTTCATGAATTATTTCCTTCTGGAGAAATGGACAGCGTTCAACTGCGGCTTGTATATTGTGGTAGTGCATTCACTTCGCTTTGCTTCCGCGGGAACTGTGACACTTATGGCAATCGATCGAGCGTTTATGATCTTAAAGCCGTTTAAATATCATACAACCATCACAACTTCAAGAGTAAAGAAACTTGTTGTATTCACTTGGGTCGGCGCTATTTTGTTCGCAAGCTTGCCGTTTATGGGAGTCGGAAAATCGGGTTATAAAGATGGCAAATGTCTTTATCATTTGACAGACTTGGGTAACACGTACTCAGTACTTATTCTAACCGTGTCGTTTCTCTTACTAACATCAGTGTTAGTTTGTTACTTTGCAATTAAATCTTCAAGTACAAAGTTTATTCAACGGCAGACAAGAATGGACATTAAAAACAAGAGCGCTGGAACAGACGCGACTCGCGGGTCGAGTCCCAAGGTGCCCGGGTGCGAGAAGCCAAAGGAAAGACGGAAAAGCAACCCCTCAGGTGTCAGGGAGATTCAAAGACTGTCGCGTATGATGGCTGTTGTTGTTTTTCTCTACTATATCAGCTGGCTGCCCATGTTGGTGAGTTTATCGGTGCGAGTAAAGAGAATTGCTAGGACTCAACCAATAATTAGTAAGGCTAATTTTCCACGCGTGATAAGGCAAGCGAACCATTTATCTCCTCTTGTGACGAAGCGTTTCAACGTTGAAAACATCGAAAGGAAAGAGAAGTTAGTTTCCAGGGCCTTCAAGTTGCTTGGAAAGAAGTGTACCAAGGAAACCGAAGGGCCTGGGTAATTTAACAGCGCTCGAATAAAGCCCTTATCGCTTCACAAGTGGAAAGGGGATTTACAACAAGTTTACTGAAAACTGCAGTAGCTTGATCACTTTTTATTCCAGTCTGTAGTAAACTTGTTGCAATCACTGTTCCCTTGTCACGCCACCAGATGTAGTTATAAAGCCGCACAAACGATACGACTGCACTTAAGTGGAAATTTTGTGTTGTTACAAAAAGATTGGGCAATGTTTGAAATAGCTCCGGTTCAAGACAATCTCTCTTCCGTGAATAAACTGTTAGTACAAGAGGTTTTAGCAACGAATTTGAAATTGAAACCAACGTTAACAAGTTGCCATTGTTTCTATGGCAAATGGTGAAATGCTCTTAGCTTCAGATCGAGGATTTTATTGATCAGTGTATGTTTCAGTATAACCAACGTGTATACTTGAATACACCGAGCATTTTTACTGAAACAGTTATAAATGGCAATTTTATACTCTTCGTAACTATGAAATACAAAAAAAAATTTCCGTGTTTCTATTGAGTTTTAGTATAAATCTAAAAGCATTCTATCACGAATGCTGTTCTCTGTGCAGTGTGCGCTCGTTAACAAACTGGCGGCCTCCTGGTAAAGTGCCAGTGAAGAGGATTTAGATAAAGTTTTGAATGACCACTAGATTCGTGTTGAAACAAATAGATTATCTTAGATTAACTTAGAAACTCCCATCCCAACAATTTTGAACATTTAAAACTGAGCTTAAAGAATAGGCCCTCTACAAGAAATTTTAAAAAGTTACACTGAGTTAAGCTAATTCCCCTGAAATAAAACTGCACATAGATTTTTGTTCAAACTTTGGCCAATGAATATTTATCATATGAGAACTTAAATTATAAAATAAAAAAGGGGGTTGGCCGTGGTCGTTAAGGAGCAGTGAGGCATTGAAAATGTCCCATTTTAGCGTTATTTAATGCTTTTTACAAGAACGCATTCGAAGTCATTGTAAACTCTTTGTGAGCCCAGACTCATGAAACACGCCTCAAACTACAGTCAATACTCTTGTCAGACACAAATAAACTTTTCAAGTTTGATTTTGACAGACAGCTGAATCTTTGTTAAAATATTGGAAACAAATTGCTTGCCACGGCTATCAAACTTCAAAATAGAAAAGACTACAGTGTAGCTCCTTTTCTTCTTATTTATTCAATTTTCAAACATAGAAATCAGATCAGTCTTTTCTCACTCAAAGCTAATGATTAGTTGATTAAAATGACTGGAAAAAAATTTGGGGTGCCCAGCTCGTTAGGTATATAGCTATAGCTATTTTTCAACTGACAGAACACCAATATTAAGGCAAATCCGCCATGTTTTCAATGTGCGCGTGCACGAACGCGCGCTAATGACGCCATAAATTATGTGCAGTAAGGATGTACAATGCAATACTGGGGAATGACCTTAATGCAATACTAAAGGACTTGATCGAATTTAATCAAGTCATCAGTGGATTTTTGCCTTTGTGGGTACAGATGGACCATTACTACATTCTTGATTGGCCGAGGGACTGCGTTAACCCTTTACCGTTCCTTTCTATTTTTAGAAACAGCTTAGGGGGAGTTTTCACACGACCCCTTGTTAACACTCGATGACACCCGATCTAAGGCCATTCTTTGTTCCAACAAAGACTGGGATTCCCTTTGGCCGCTATTTTGCTTTTGTCATTTGCAGAAACAAGATATTCCGCGGGAAACTAAGAGACCCCTGTGCTAATTACAGTTCTAAAAGTAGAATAATATGGGAAAGGGTTATTTCTAGGCTAAAGTACGTATGGAGGCTCCGGGGCATGGGTTCCTGGTAATAACCAAAACACCTGCATGGAAAAAAGAACAGAGCGGCAACAAAGATAAAATGTATGGAGCAAACCAAGGACAATTTGCGCCACTGAAAGTTGGAAAAAAATGCTCCTTAAAACCGCTACAACCTTCCTCACCATAAACATGATGCTCTGTTCTAACAGCCTCTCTTTTTAGATCAGCAACATCGTAACCTTGGCAACAGACCGGAGGTCTAGCAAGCTTGTCGTGCTTCTCACAGGAATGGTGTCTCTTATCTACGCCCTGGCAAACCCTATCATCTACGGCAAAATGAGCATGCGCTATTGGTGGGCCTACAAGCGTGTGTTTGGAGCAGCGTGTGGGGTTTGCAAGGAGAAACCAAGATCTTGGAGCATTTCATTTTCAACCAAAAGTGAGCTGACTTTATTCAACTAAGTATGGATGTGTCTTGTAACTGCCTGCTCAGAGAAGTTATTATTCATTGTCAAAGCTAAGGTCAAAAGGGATTAAAACCCTTGCCTTTTTCTCCTTTTTTTTTTAATTAATGCGGAAACTGCAATTAACATGTCACTCTCCAGACACCCAACATTGGCGTGAGTTGGGTTCTTGATTTTTGCTGTGCCTGCGAGCTAGTGTTTGCAAAAATCCTTCCTCCGTTTTGATACTTAGCTTTTAAAAATCTTACCGCACATAATATTGTGTAGTGGGAACCCGTTATCCAAACGGAGACGAAGCCTCTTCAACGTACGTGTATATGGTATTCATTGGTTTCAAGTCAACAGTTAATGTCACGTAATCAGCTTTACTACATGGCAAAGCCGTCTTGAGATAAATCTGAGCGATCTGATTGGTTTTTTCTTGGTCTGGATTTTACCATACGGACCGTTTTCATGGAAGCGATTAAGAGCCGTGTATTTTTTTGGTTTTCGAAAGCCGGCGAGCGCGAGATAATGAATTACTCACGAACCGTACTGGGAAAGATCGGCCCTCGTTCGTTTTTACGCACAGAACCAAAATTTAACCAGCAATCTGTTGCTGGTTATAGAAACTGCTTCAAGAAACTGCTCCTTTTTGTGCCCCTAAAAGGTTTCATTTATTTTTCAGTCTTTCCTTTCTACTTGCAGCTGGCACTTCTTACATGTAACAAAAAAGCACATTGCTATGAAGAGCCGGTCTTTCGCTTGGGTACCAAATTTTGTTCAGGAATGACGATCATTTCAGCCACCTGCAAAGCTTGCTCTCTATTTTATGTTTAATGTGATGCTGATGACATTAACGTTTTCTGAAATCCATTCCTAAGGTACAAGTCGTTCACGGACTCTGACAAATCCACAACTCCCCAAGGAACAAGAGTTCCACGAAAACGGCATCAACAACGTACGGTCTGGGGACCAAACAACCGCGCATGGGCAAGCTCAAGGCACCTCTGAAGTGCAGCCTAGTCGTGTGATAGAAGGCTCAGATGACATCACAGATGGTGTCGTTGTTGATTTCCGTAGTGAGAGAGACAGTACATTCAATAGTGAAGTCACAAACAAAGAAGAGGCAAACAGTTCTTTCTTGTCAAATGATTTGTTACTCTAAGATAAGACTAGAA